GCTAAAGCCTCAGTTTCAACCTGTTTAATTCTATCCCTCCACGATTCTTGCAGCTGGGGAGTGGCGGATTCCTCTGACTTTCTGCATTCTTCATCAAAGGTACCACGCCAATAAGGAGGGGAAAAACAGTGCTAGTAGCAATCATCGTCATGGCAAGGGAGAGAGTTATATGATCCAGGAATCCACTTTAACAATCAACATTATACGATTTTCCAGACTATCATAAATACCTTGTAAACACAATTTTGATGGTGACATAATTGTTCATCAAATAAACACAGCATAATTTATGTAACATAGTCATTATTTATTTTCACTGTTTTCAATTTTTGGCTACTGCCAACAATGCTGCCACGTGTGTTTTTATCCATAAAGGCTTGGGAGAGACGGTTTCCTTAAAGAGATCTAGAAATGGAATTGTTGGGGCAGAGGATGAAAGGGTGCTACTGCTGTTTAAAAAGGTGGCATCTCAGAGAATCCACCGAGGCAGAGAAACCACTGTCCAGGTGTGCTAGGCTGCTTGCTTTCCCACACCCTCACCTTCCTCAGCCTCCCCCCACCCCAACCAAGTTTTTATTAATTTAGTAGAAAAAAAGTTTATATGGCATTTCCTCTATGACTCATGAGGGAGATTATTTCTCCACATAATTATTACTATTTCCCTTTTGTGGACTATTTGCTCCCCTGAGGCTATCATTTAGGGAAGGCTTGGTTAAATACAAGGAAACACCTGCCCCAAAGGCTCAGGGCCACTCTGCCTTGCCCTGCCGAGCGCTGCCCGTGGCCATGTTCCTGACCATCTGGTGAGCGAAGGCGGTGCAGTTAGAGGAGCTGGCATGCTGTGGAACGGTGAAAGGAATACACAGTTTACCTGGTGGATTCTGTGGAAACTCGTGTGTTACGTCTTGAAAGTCAGCTGAGTTTATCAAACTTCTATTTTGAGACCATGTAGATTCATACGCAGTTGTATGTAGAGCTCCCATGCACCCTTTATGTAATAGGGAAAAACAAATCTGACTTCATACTGGATCTTTCTTTTACTTTAATCTTTATGTTTTATTGCTTTGGCTACAAGTTAATCAGTAAAGGGATGTTGCCTATAACTTAAGGTAAACATAATGGCCCATCTCTGGGAACCCTGCCTCCCATGCGTGAGCTTAAGCTAAAATACCTTTTCTTCAGTTCACTAGAAACACCCTGACCAGGCCCACCTGTAAATGGCTGCAGGAAAGCAGAAATTGACACATCTCCTCTGGGAGTCTGGCTGGAACCAGGAAATATTTGCAGCAGCTTACGGCCTTTATAACTTTACCTCCTCACCTCCCCCTCTTTGCTCTATAAAAGAAACTAGCATCCAAACCTGGGCAAGACGGTTCTTTGGGACACTAGTCCACCCTCTCCTCTGTCTGCTGGCTTTCCCAATAAAGTCGCTATTCCTGCCCCAACACCTCATCCCTCGATTTATTGGCCTGTGTGCGGCAAGCAGTACAAGCTTGGACTTGGTAACATTTACCCAGGTTCCCCCAGTGGCAGCGTCTGGTAAAACTCTAGTGCAATATCACATCCGGATGCCGACACTGGTGCCGTCCAGACTCACAACATTCCATGCACACAAGGTCCATCCTGCTGCCCTTTTACAGCCACATCCACTCCCTCGTTACCCCCACACGCCCCTTACCCCTTGGCAACCAATAAAATGTTCCCCACATCTACAATTTTGTCATTTCAAGACTGTTCCATAAATGGAATCATATAATATATAACCTTTGGGGGTTAGAGATTTTTCTTTTTTCTTCTTTTAAAAAAATTATTGGCTGCGTTGGGTCTTCGTTGCTGCGCGCGGGCTTTCTCTAGTTGCGGCGAGCGGGGGCTGCTCTTCATTGCGGTGCACAGGTTTCTCATTGCAGTGGCTTCTCTTGTTGCAGAGCACGGGCTCTAGGTACGCGGGCTTCGTAACTGCAGCACGCAGGCTCAATAGTTGCGGCATGCGGGTAAGTAGTTGTGGCTCGCGGGCTTAGTTGCTCCGCAGCATGTGGGATCTTCCCAGACCAGGGATCGAACCCATGTGCCCTGCATTGGCAGGCGGATTCTTAACCACTGCACCACTAGGGAAGTCCTAGAGTTTTTTCATTCAGCATAATTCTGTTAAGATCCATCCAGGTGGTTGTGTGTATCAATAGTTCAGTCTTGGGCTTCCCTGGTGGCGCAGTGGTTGAGAATCTGCCTGCTAATGCAGGGGACATGGGTTCGAGCCCTGGTCTGGGAGGATCCCACATGCCGTGGAGCAACTAGGCCCGTGAGCCACAACTACTGAGCCTGCGCGTCTGGAGCCTGTGCTCCGCAACAAGAGAGGCCACCACAGTGAGGGGCCCGCGCACCGCGATGAAGAGTGGCCCCCGCTTGCCACAACTAGAGAAAGCCCTCGCACAGAAACGAAGACCCAACACAGCCAAAAATAAATTAATTAATTAATAAACTCCTACCCCCAACATCTTCTTTAAAAAAAAAAATAGTTCAGTCTTTTTTGTTGCCGCGTGGTCTTTCACAGTGCCGATGGACCACACGTTGTTTAACCAGTCACCCGTCAAAGGACACCTGGGTGGTTTCCAGTTTCAACTACCAGTAATAAACCTGCTGTGAACATGTGCCAGAGGCTCACCTTTGGTTTTAGCACAGCCCTCTGTGGAGAGGGCCTGAGCAGTGGGGCAGAGCAAGCCCAGGGCAGCATCCCCTTAGACAAAGCATCTGCAATATCCCAATACATAATTGAACAGGCTCTCTGCAGCCTGAAGACGATGTAATGGGCTACCAGGAAAGACCATTTGGGCTCAAGTTCCAGCAACCTTTAAAAAAACAAATGCTGTCTCAGCAGAAAAGGATCTGAAAGAAAGAAGAATGGACATCGATTAATAGAAATAGCATCATTTTCACCAATATTGAAAGGAATTGCTAAACCAGTATGTATGCTGAATTCAAGCATTTTCTAAATTCCCATGTGAAAAAACAAAAAATCTCTGATAGGTCTGCTCGGGGGAAAAATAGCCCAGGAGTCCCCTTACCGCCCTTGAGCCAGAGTGTTGCCTGGTACAGAGCGCAAGAGCTTTGACCTCCCCTCCCCTCCATCCAGAAAGAAAATTCTTCCAAACAAGAGTTGGCCAGTGGGGCCAGCCCACAGCATTGCCGTGAAGGAAGAATTGTTAGTGTCTGTCTTCTCAGAGTCTCTCTGGACTTAGTTCTCTGTTAGAATAGACTAAAGACATGGAGACCTGGCCTTGGAGTCTACATTTGTTATCTTCTGTTTCATATTTTATTTTTGTTATTTGAGTAGATGTGAAGTGATATGTCGTTGTCACTTTAATTTGCGTTTCCTGGATACCTAATGGATGCTGAGAATCTTTTCATGTGATAACTGGCCATTCGTGGTGGTCCTTTCACCTTTTATTATTTTTGTATTTTGGCCTCACTGCGTGGCACGCGGGATCTAGTTCCCTCACCAGGGATTGAACCCCTGCCCCCTGCATTGGGAGCATGAAGTCTTAACCACTGGACCGCCAGGAAAGTCCCTCTTTGTAGGTATTCTACTGAGGTTTTCCTGAGTCTCTCGATCCGTAAGTCAAGAATTCAATGCTCTCCATCAAACTTGTGGATTTCTGCCCTCTCCTGTCTTCCTGGTAAGCCCTGTGGCACCTCATCCAGTGATTGCTGAGCACAGCTGAGGCTGAGCCTTACACTGAGCCCCACGCAGGCTTCTGGCTCTCATCCTTACCTCCTGCTCTGCTGCCCTGCCTCACAGCCTCCAGCTGTCCTAGACGCTGACCTCTGCCTGCTCACCCAGCCTGAAAGCACAGTGCTGCACTGTGCACCCACATTTAGCAGCTGTGTTCACACTCAAACTGTTTCACATATATTTACCTTATTTCATTTGCAAAAGTTACCCCAAACCTACTTTCCTTGCGTAAGAAATGCACATGCAGTTAAAGTAAGGTTTTATTTTGTGGCATTCCCAGGTGTCTACTCCGTGGAAGGTCCTGTGTGGCTGGGTATTGGGGGTGGGGACACAAGTAAAAGGCAGCCCCTAGTTCAAGAATTTTACAGTGTCACGGAGACAGGAAACTAGTGTTGTGGCAATGCAGAGAAAGGTGGTTGCTTCCAACCGCTGGGCAGAGTCTGTGGGAGTCGGCCTCGCAGGTGCGCCTTGAGGAGGACCGTGGTGCTGGAGAGTTTAGGTTGTATTGAGAAGGTATGTAATATTGTCCTACTTCATGGCAGCAATATTACTTCATAAAACCAATGTAACGACAAACACAAGACCAACAGTGTTGCAAGGGGTAACTGCCATTCGCTCAGTGGTGGGAATTAACCCGGTGTCCTAATGATTCCCCCGAGGCATCAGGCCTCTGGTAGAAATAACAATGCTAGGCTATGGGCGGCAGTCCCACACAGGTGAGAAACGGACACTCTCGTGTCCACTTGTTGATGTCGGGTGACTCCCGGGGTCCATGTGTCGGTGTCAGCCACCCCGAGGTGGTCCCCCTGTCCGGATGTCTGATACCCCCGGGTGGTCCCCGTGTCTGCACGCGGCTGTCAGCGACCCCCGGGTGGTTTCACGGGCTCCGGGTCAGCGACCCCCGGGGCCGTCCTCGACGTCGGGCACTCCTGCGGGCGATGCTCGTGGGCGCCCCGCGGCGAGTCTCGGCTGCCCTCCCCACACCAGCCCTGTCCGCCCGAGGGCGCCGGCCTGGGGGGCGGTTCCCGGCCGTCCAGTCCCTACGGTAAGGGACTCACGCGGGACCCCCAGCTGCCCACGTACGGCCGGCGCGGACTTCGGTCCCGAGGCGCGGAGGATACCTCCGCCGACACTCGCGCAGCCTGGACCGCCTTTCCGTTGGAGGACCGAGGCCGCGCGGAGGAAAGGCCTCCCCTTTAAGGCGCGCGCCCCGGAAGCGGTACCACCGCGCGCCGGCACCGGAAGCGGGTGCGGCCGGCGGGCGGCGACGGGGGGCGGCCGGCGACTGCAGGTGGCCGGCTAGAGAGCTACCTCGAGCGGCCGGGCGGGCGTCGCTCTCGCGGTTGCGGCGCCGCTTAGGCTCGGGCTGGCCCGGCGCGGCCTCGGGCTGCTCATGGGGCGCAGGAGGCCGGGCCGGTGACGCCGGACGCCCATGGACGCCCCTGAGGAGCCGGTGCCGCCGGTGATCTACACCATGGAGAACAAGCCCATCGTCACCTGTGAGTGCCCGGCGGCGCGGGAGGGGGCGGCAGCCGCGGCGTGCAGCCCGACCCAGGTCGCTGGCCCCTCGGCCCCCACAGCCCGGCCCCCGCGCTCCCGGCCGGGCCGCTTCCTGGAATGGAGGTGTGGCCGGGGCGGCGGCTGCGGCGGGGCCCTGACCCCGCGGGCGACCTCCGACCTCCCCGGGGTCGACCTCGAATCTCTTTCTCCTGGAGGCGACGCTCTTCCGGTTGTCCGGCTGCAGTTGGACAGCGCTCGGGGCGCGCCCCGAGGGGTCCACCGCTGTGCGCCCCGTGCGGCTGCAGGTTCGGCAGCTGGCCCCGCGCGGGCCGGTCCTTCCCGGCGGGGACGGTCTCCTCCAGGCGCACTGTTTCCTCCGGTCCCGCAGAGGGTCTCCTGGCTCTCGGTTGCGAGCGTGGACGAAGTTTGCGTGCGGTTGTCGTGTTTGTTAGGAGACGGGGGTTTGTACTCAGTAACGTGTTAAGTAGTGGAAGACGCAGGAGACCCGTCGGCCGTGCCCAGCTGCATTTGCCTGGGCACAGCGGCTCTGCTGGGCCGGGACCGCGACCCTGGGCTCTTCCCCACAGGCCGCTCAGGCACTTCCGAGACGCTGGCACAGAGCAGAAACCCATTTCACAGATGAGGCTGCAAAGGTCCGGTGAGCTCATCCATGCTCTGGACCACTGGACTGGTGCCTCTTCATTTTGAGTGTCGGGTTTGTTTGGTTTTTTTGGCGCCACATTTACGCATCCACAAAGGAATTTTTTTTTGTTACAGAAAAATTTCCTCTAATTTTTACAGCTATAACTAAGGAATTAAATATTTTCAAAAACACTGAGCTTATGGAAAGTGTTGAAATGTTGGCTGACATTTTGATGACTTGCAGACAGGTGTTTCAGACTATTAGGATTTTTGACCTCTGACAGTGTTCTTATCTTCAGTTAATTTTTTCAGATGGTCTTCCACACTTTGAAAGGAAGCACTCTTTCTACAGGAACATCCAGGCAGGCACTTAGCCCTTAGTAGATGGTTCTGTAGGTCTTGAGCCCTCTCTTGTTTCTTTCTCTCTCTTTCTTTTTCTTTTCTTTTCTTTTCTTTTTCTTTCTTTCTTTCTTTTTTTTTTTGATTAGTGGATACTCTCCTTGTATGCTTTCTCTTGTCAGATTCCTGAGAAATTGTATGTTTAAAGTTGAAGTCTGTTGCTTTATCTTTAGCTGATAAACTTTCTCAGGGAAAGGGACGGTGTCACATCTAAATTTGGACACTTGCATAGTTCGAAGCTGTTTTCTCTTTTCACCAGGACAGCTGCAGGTCTTGCTGAAGACTGCACCTTTAGTCGAGGGAACAGGTGTGTGTAGAGCTGATCTGGAGGCCCTGCAGTTAATTCCCAGGTGCTTTCTGTACCCTCAGGGAAGAGGAGCCAGGCTCAGGGTGGTGTTCCTGTTAGGTTTCAGTGTCTTCCAGATGCTGGAGACTCCTCCCCACGTGCCCTGCACACTGTGAGTGCTGGATCAGTATTGCCTGTAGAAACATTAACAAGTCTAATTATATCTCATACATACCCCTTAGCTTACATCTCATAGCAGTGTTTTTGTGGGCGTTACGTAAATACATATCTGAAGAGAAAGTTAAACCTTGGGTTGGGTTCAACCTTGACTAAACAGGTAAATCGTTATCCTAGTAATGTTTGAGATATGGGTCTAGTGTTTAGTTTCATACCCACATGCATGACAGACAGCTAAAGGATAGTTTCCTTTCCTACAGACTTATTGTAAAAGCTATGTTGGTGGAGGTTTTTCCGGTGTTTAAAACTGTTGTCTGGGGATTCCCTGGTGGCGCAGTGGTTGAGAGTCCGCCTGCCGATGCAGGGAACACGGGTTCGTGCCCCGGTCCGGGAAGATCCCACATGCCGCGGAGCGGCTGGGCCCGCGCGTCCGGAGCCTGTGCTCCGCAATGGGAGAGGCCACAACAGTGAGAGGCCCGCGTACCAAAAAAAAAAAAACAAAAAAACTTGTCTGTACTGATGGTATCTCTGTTTTAAAAGGCACAACCATTCATTCATTGAAGTCTCAGAAAAGAAAGTGGCTTCAGTAAACTTTCAGAGAAAATTACCTTAAAAATTTAAAAAGATCCCTTTAAAAGTTAAAGATTTTTTAAGTTTTAGGAAGGCTGACTTCATTTTGGTGTGTTTGGGACTGAAGCTGTGGTAAAGCACTTGCTGTCCTGGTTTCACGTTATACTTTCTTTATCTTGTTCCATTCTTTCAGCTGCACATGTGTTGAAGGGAGCCGCTAGTGTAAGCAGTGTAGACAAAGGTAGTAGGAAAATTGCTTTAAAAAAAATCCATCTAGAGGCTCTGCTGTTGTGTACATAGCTCCTTTAGTACGCAGCATTTTAGTTTTCAAAAGTCTGTTTAATACTTTTCCAGCCATTGCACCCTGAGGAGGTCTGTGTTTGTTCATTGTAAAATGAGAGCAGAGTTTGTGCTCGTTTTCAATTTTTTTCATAGGATTTAGAACGTTTTACTTTGAGTGAAAGCGAATTGTGCATCAGCCTTTCTGAGAAGAATGTAGAATGTTACCAGTTAAGGTAAATTTAGGAACTGTTCATTTGTGGCCATGAGAAGAGTGGAAAGTCCCCAGAGATTAGGGGTAAACAGAATACATCATTCCTTGAAAACCTTGCTAAATTATTTTAATAATATTCTGAAGATACCTAAGAGTTTTAATGGCCTTTACTCCGTAATTAAAATTTTCCGAAACTGCTGTCTGACCGCCTCTGGTGCAGAGTGACTACCTCTGTGGAGGATCTGCTTAGACTCTGGTGAAGCTTCTGAATACTGGAAGATGTGTCTGAAATGCACAGGGATGTCCACTGGGAAGTCTGCGGTACTAGTGGTGTGATGACATTGGGCGATGAATCACCTGGTCATAACAATGTGAATACCTGTAGTATAACTGACTAATCATGAAAGTGAAACAAACAAATCCAGCAGATCCATTTGATCTAAATTTAAGTTAGAGCTTAGATTTTTTTGTTTTCAACCACTGGATCAGTTCTCTGCTTTGGAATAAAGACCGAAGTTTCTGACCCAAGGTTATGTTAGGAAAGAGATGTTCCTTTCCCAGCTATCTCATTTAGCAGACAAAGCTATTATAATTCCACTGATTTGTGGCTTTTCTTTATTGGCTGTTGGCATCCTACCTAAGATAGCACATAACTATCAACGTGGAATTGGGTAGTATCTGAAAAACAACAGTGTTCATTCGAATGATCTGTTCTCACCCAGTCACATCGGATGGTGCTGCTTTAATTTTTCTCAATCTCTATATATTTAGGGTTCCGGATCTGACATTATGAATTTTCAAAGCGGGGAAAAGGCAACAAAACTGAGCAGATCCGTAATGCTTTTTACCTGGTTGGGTTTTGTTTTTTTCCCCCCTGTAGGTTAAAGTTTTAAAATTTGCACATTGCAATTTTCTATCAAGCGTGAAAGTATGGTGCTTGTGATTTCACCACTCTCAGTTTCATTGGCGGAAAAGTAACTTAAAATGTCCTCTTTTTAAACTGATACACATAAATGCAGGTCTTGGTCCATATCGAATCCTTAAGCCAGTAGGGAATCAGCTGTTGAGAAGTGGCAGAAACATTTCTCCTTAGGAAACCTCAGTTCCATGGGGTGTATTTGGAGGCAGGGACTAAGGCGTTAGTACCTGTACTTCCCTTGATTTAGAAATCGCTGCAGACTTCCTGCTGGTCCAGTGGTTAAGAATCCGTCTGCCGGTTCAGGGGACACAGGTTCGATCTCTGGTCCGGGAAGATCCCACGTGGTGCAGAGCAGCTAAGCCCGGGTACCACAACTACTGAGCCCGTGCTCTAGAGTCCAGGAGCCACAACTACTGAGCCCAGATGCTTAGAGCCCATGCTCCGCAACAAGAGAAGCCGCCACAGTGAGAAGCCCGTGCACCGAAACGAAGAGCAGCCCCCGTTCGCTGCAACTAGAGAAAGCCAGCGCGCAGCAACGAAGACCCAACGCGGCCACAGATAAAAATAAATAAATAAATATTTTAAAACAGAAGAAGAAGAAGAAGAAGGAATCGCTTCCAGCGCGCGGTGAGAAACAGGCAGGACGCGCCGTGTGGCTGCCTCCGTGTCTGTGAGACAGGGGCAGGGATGGCACCAGGCTCGGGGCTGATGCGGCGATTCAGTGAGTATGTGTAAGGCACTCGGAAGAGTGATGGGTGTGCAGAAAGAATGTGAGCTACTCGGGAGAGACTTCCCAGTTTTCTCTGTTCGTGGTGGCCTTAGTGTCTTCAGTAATTTTTTCATGACACCTCTAGGCTGGAAAGAATATTTAATAATTCCATTTATTAAGTAGTTACGTTCAAATAATTTTATTAAGTCTTATGTCCTAACAGTAGTTATTTGAAAAAAAATACACATAAATTGGAGGAAAATTTTTGTTTCATTCTTAGATATAACCACAGTAACATATTAGGGACGTATTAGGCCACACCTATTGGGCGCCGCGCAGCTTCTCTAGCCTGGGAATCCGATTGGACGCCGCTGCTTTGTTTATTTGACTGCGAGGCGGGGGTTGATTCTTGGCCTTTTATTACAGCAGTTACCCTGTTTTGTGATGATAATGATGTCATTGAAAGAACAGTAGCCTGATGTAGTATTGAAACTGATGAACTCAGCTGGGGCCTGGGACATCTTCAGTATTGCTGTTTCCCCTCAAAAATTTGGAACACCCCTTGGGCCCTCTCTGGGTTTGCTGCGGTACCCTGAGCACCTGGGCACACATTTGGGAACCCATGTTACTAGTATGTTAGCCCAACTCTAGACCACGGGAGGGGGACTGCGCAGCCTCAGATTCTCCTGATCGCCTCTCTCACAATCTCCCTGCTGGCGTTTGCCCACAGCCTCCTGGGCTTTCTCTCCTCCCTTTATGTCACCTGTCCTTCTGTCCTTTCCTCCCTTCTGCCCCTGCCTTCAG